TCCAATTCAACCCAAACTTGGAGATTATTGTTTCTTCGGACGCCTCCAATTATGGGGTAGGTGCTGTCATTTCTCACGTGTTCCCAGGAGGAGAAGAGAAGGCCATTGCGCACGCAGCACGGTCGCTGACAGTGGCGAAGAAAAATTACAGCCAGATTGAGAAGGAAGCGCTGGCGATTGTTTTCGCAGTGAAACGGTTTCATAGGATGCTATATGGTAGACATTTCAAACTGATCACGGACCACAAACCTCTACTCTCGATATTTGGATCAAAGAAAGGTATTCCTGTTTTCACAGCAAGTCGCTTACAGAGATGGGCAACCGTACTGCTGGCTTACGATTTCAGTATACAATATCGAGCTACACAACAACTCGGCCAAGCGGACACTCTATCTCGCCTCCTCGGTCCCCACTTGAAGCAAAACGATGGCTGCGTGATTGCATCTGTCAAATTCGAGTCGGAAGTTCAGCGCATCCTGGTTGACAGTGTAAGGGAGTTGCCAGTAACGTCGGACACGATTCGTGCAGAGACGGCTCAAGACGATATCTTTCTGAAAGTGAAAGGGTTTGTGCGGTCCAGTTGGCCTAATGTCAGAATTTCGAATAAGTTACAACCTTTCTTTAATCGACGCGGAGCCCTTTCGGTCGTTGACAAGTGTCTAGTGTTTGGAGATCGAGTCGTGGTACCAAGGAAGTTGCGGAAGCGAATACTACAGCAGTTTCATTCAGGACATCCGGAAACCAGCCGAATGAAGGCACTGGCGCGAAGTTTTGTGTATTGGCCTCAAATGGATGCAGAAATCGAAATATGCTGTCAAAGTTATGAATCTTGTCAACAAGCGGCAAAAGCATTTCCGAAATGTTTGTGGCACCCTTGGCCCTAGTCGAAGAAGCACTGGCAGAGAATACTCTTGGATTATGCGGGACCAATCAACGGTCAATGTTATTTGATTTTTGTTGCTTCCTACACAAAATGGCCCGAGGTGATTCCGATGCAGAATCCCACCGTCCAGCACACTATCAATGAGCTGAACAAACTGTTCCAGTATTTCGGCACCCCGGGTATGCTGGTCACAGACAACGAAGCCTAGTTCACCTCAACGCTGTTCCGAGAATTTTGCATGCAAAACGGAATCCAGCACAAGTTTTCGCCGCCGCATCATCCACAATCGAATGGGCAGGCCGAACGGTTTGTAGATACCTTTAAACGTGCTCTGCTCAAAGCGGAAGGAACGAGGGTGTCACGAGATACAATTCAGCCGTTTTTAAGAATGTATCGAAACACTCCGAATACAAACGCACCGGAGGGTAAATCTCCTTCTGACTGTCTATTTGGAGGAAAAATTAGAACATTTGATAGCCTGATTCCCAGAAATGTTGGAAAACACAACGGACAACCGAGAGAGTGCTTCTCACGTTCAAGGTTGGCGACTTGGTGTATGCACGAAACTTCCAAACCCCGGAAGACAGGTTAGCGGAACGGTTAGTGGAAAGACGAGTAAAGTTATTTATGAGATAATGACCGAAAAGGTCAAGTGGAGCAGATACATCAATCATTTAAAACAGAAGCATGGTAAAACTCACAGACATCAAGAACCAGGGGCACCAGGGTGGGACATGCTACTGCATACCTTTGGTTTAGAAAACAGAACTGCTCTCCAAAGCGGAACACGGCCGGTCCTACAGACGTCACACGATGTGACATGCAGACCAAGTCCAAGAAGAAGGCAACCGCAATGGCTACAAGTGGACCCCAGGGTAAAAACCTACTACCAAGCCCAAGTGCGGACAATAGTTAGGAGCAATCAATTCAAAGGGGGAGGTAATAGAGAGGTAAGCGGAGCCAATGTCCAGACACGAGGTCGCGCACACGCTTACTGAGGGGCAGGTGAGCTGTCTGCTGTATGCGAAGGTCACCAGCACAAGCGTGGAACGACCTTCGACTGTTTTGCCAAATTTGGGGATCGGGTGCAAACTGATTGACCAGCAAATACAATCCTGGATCAACGGAGACGAACCATTCCGCCAAATATGGAAAATCCGTGTGACGGAATTAACTCACATTGTCTGAGAGCCAAACGCTTCCAAAATTAGTACGTTTCGTTCACCAATAAATAGAACTGATCTATCGTGTAGAATAGACTCCCTGTTTACCGAGCCTTGGCCTTCTGTATCCCGTCGGTTGGTTGGGCGCATGACTGAGCAATCAGGCGGTCGTAGTCTCGGAGACGCAGAATAGCAGCAGTACGAAGGCAGCTTTACAGCTGATTCACGTCGCGTTTGTGATGGATTTTGTTGCTGGGTCTCAACAGTGCAGTACTCGTTACAAACAATTTGTGATATTTTTGCACTCGTTAAAAGGTGCTTTCCTGAGGCATTCAAGTCAGCCAAAATTGTTCCCCAATACCATTTGCAGTAGCTGCCTCGCATTTCCTACTGCGTTGCTGTTCGCTCAGTATTAGGTTGGGTTCGATAGATAGCTCAAAGCCATTCACCATTGTAACATTGTCAACCACTGCGCCGGCGTAACGTATCACACCGATCAGTACAAGCACATCGCTCGCTAGCCCGCCCCTACTTGACCATTCTAAGCACATCGCTCGTCTGACTGGTGTCCTCAACCAAAGTCGGGAAAGTACACAATAGCCGACACAATGACTGTGTCGGCTAGCGACATTATGCTGAGTAACAGAAAGCAAATAGATGCGACTCCAAAAGGACTCCAGACAAAATGTGCCTGTGGGGCTGGACAAGGTAATCGATTAGTCAAATTGGAATTGACCTTCACGTACTGTTCCAACTTTTTTCCATCTAAGCTGTCCAACCTTTTCCAAACAACAGGTGCGGGATCGAAACAGCTCCCAAGATGACCTCTGGTTTTGTACTGAAAGTTCATCCATCCCATTAGTGCAATGTGCACTTTTAGTCCAAAAGTGCGACCGGTTAGGAGCAGAAGTTGAACAACGAATTGGTGCTAAGATTATACCGCTGGAAGCGAGCATGCACTAGGACAGCGTAGTGGCCCCTGAGTAAAGCAGTAGTGTATAGTTTGCTTCATCCAAACAACGATCGTGAAGTTTCCGATTACCATTATCTTTGATTTTGGAATCACGTCAGTCGCAAACAGGCTAGGGCTCTGATAGTCAGGTGGTACTCAGGACCACGAGACGTGTGATCGATCAAATTTCCCTGGTCTCAGCAACCTCATTCATTAACTAGGATGGAGCAGCCGAACACGAGTCTTGTGCATCTGCAACTCCATGGTTTATGGTCAAGTCCAAGTCCTCCGGGAATTCAGTCGCTCATGCAGAAATTGCTGCAGAGATCACTCTGGATGTCATACTGTTGCAATCACCCCTAACGCGAACAGAGAAGGACACTAGACAGTAGAATTTTGCGAAATAACTAACATGATCCGAATTGAGGGCGCTTGATCTCTCTTGCAATTTGCTATGCCGGTGCCGAAGTTTCGCACATAAGTGGTGACCAAATAGGGTCTTTATCACCTCATCGACCGGCGTACACATTTTGCCATTGTGTACGTGCGCACATCTGTTACAGGATCCGGAGCTTGATGAGTGGTATTTACTCATCCTGTCCTTGTTAATCGTATCTGAATGGATTTGACCACAACTTTCACCAGCCCCTTGTTTATCTTTAGCCCTCCCACTAGACGTCAGTGCCGGATGATAATTAGCAAAGAGGTTTGGTCGCAAACTTTTATCTCAAACATCACTATCGAGATCACATTCATTTTAACTCGTGCGTTCATCTCTGCGACCCACATAGATGGGATTCTTGTGATTTAGCTTCGAGCCACCATCTGTACATCGCCTCCTGCTTCTTGCTGATGATTGTCGGCCGGCGACCGAGTGGTCTGTGCATCTGGTTTTGCTACCATAAGATCCACGTTTCGAATCCGCGTAGGGGTGATTATTCTCGCAGTATACTCAGCCCGCGCGCGACTGGTGGTGGTCGCGTGGCTACGAAGCGCTGTTACGGTTTACTGCTGACATATTATTATATTTTATTGTTCTCCGACAAAGGCGGCACTTGGGGAGAGATTTTCGGTGGCACTCACTGTTGATGGGCAAAATGACTGGAGACTAATTGACAGTAACTCATATTCCAAATTTTGTTTACTTATCTGTGTCCGATCTCACGGTCAGTGATAAAAACTCAACAGTAACAACACTGATATAACTTATTTACGCCAGTCTCTCCTCAGGCCTTGTGCTGTTTACCTGATGGGCATTGTTTGTCCGCGCTTCGCACCACGTCATCGTAGAAAAGGCTACACTCCTTTCATATTTCATCCGAGGCTTCTTTTCTGGGTTGACTGCTATGACTGTTCTTGACAATCGATGCCTTCAATTTGTTGCTCGTGTCTGGTGTGTGAACCGAGAGTAATTCTGGGGTTCGTCAAATAACGTTTTGTGACAGACAATCTGGTCCTTCTTTGGACTCTATGTTGCACTCGCATCATTTTCGCTGCTCCGTCATGTGTTCTGCATGCCTATATGTCGGTTACCTATGCACGAACTGATGATATCATCCGCGTATATCATTCACCAATACTGCACACGGTCGGTTGAAACCCCGAGGTGGTCAGTCGGTAGCATAGCGAAAAGATCCTGAAGGGAATCACCGGAAGACAGCAAGGACGATGCTTACCATCTTTCTAGTTGCAGTCCGCTGGAACGGCGACATCATTGGCTTGATACCCTATCGGATGTGATGCGGTCACGAAGTCAGTGACCCATCCATCCGACAGTGATTTTGACTCGTGCCCACTCCTCTTGCTTCGGCAACCGGTTCACAAATCATAGTTAATGCGCGGTGCTAAACTGCACTGTGGCTATCGCTGTGCTGGTAATGAAATCGCTTTGGTGCACTTTGATCGCTAATGCAGCAATATATCCTTTTTCTTATTTATCCACATCACTCACTCCGGTGTTGCTTTTCACGTGTCTTGCATCCTTTTGATTATTTCATCACAGATTCATCGGAAACGCAATATGTTCGATGCCAGTAGGCTCTACAGTGCCCGTACTTTATTTCAACTTGATGCTGCAATTGAGGCATTTGCTCGTGTTCTGCTTCCAACACTGGCCACTGGATTTGAGCTTCGAAATTGTGATAGAAACTTGGTTGACCAGCATCCAACCTTGGAGGTATGCTGAGAGTCCTCAACCGCATGGCATATCTCCCCTGTCTTCGCAAGCTTCCGGCCCGAATCCTGTATACGCAACCCCAGGAGAGCCTAGCGACACGGAATTTCGCTCTTGGTATGTCCTCTATATCAGTAGTCCCCAACCTTTTTATCGCCGCGGACCGGTCTACGTTTGATAATTTTACCACAGCCCGCTGAGGGTGGGAGCATTGATTGTTCATATTTTAGATTGTTTTCACTTAATATTTTTAATTTAGTTGTATTTAACATGCCATAAAATAAATACAGTTAAACCAAAAGATGAATATAAAGCGATTTAACATCTCAACTCACTAGTGCGCTAAATCAATGATAACCCTGAGCTTGTTTCTCTGCAAGAAGACTGTGGCATCTGGGGGTAATATAAGGCAATGACATCCGAAGTGTGTTGTTTATATGCAGTTCATTCCGTTGTTTTGTTTGCTGTTACTGCAGAAAACCTGGCTTCACACTGAAAGGATGTCGGAAATGGCAATAGGGACTTAAGTGATGTGGTGTCAATCAGACGGTAATCCAGAACACCGATAAAGCTGTTGTCTCAAAATTAGTTTTAACGCCGCCGTCATTTGCAGTCTCCAACAATCGCTCTTCTTCTTGAACAGACATGCTGAATTCGGCTAGTTTGTTAAAAAAACGGGTCGCGGACCCATTCCTTACCAGTTCGTGGGTTCTTTATGGTTGGGAAATAGCGCTCGAACTCTTTTAAATGCAAAGGCAGGTGATCGTGCACCAACTGGGAGATTGAATGCTCAGGGTCCGTCTCGTCTAAAATCCCCGCTAATGTTTCTGTTCACTAGCCATCCCTACAACTCTAGTTGGGCTTTAGATGCGACTAATTTGTCTGCCAATTTGAAAACAGTTGTCATTTTTTCCCTGAAGGAGGGATAGATTGAGTTCATTGAGCCGTGACTTCTACTCTGCGAGAAATCTTTGCAATAGCTCTCGGAATTCAAATACACTGGTTATCGATTTTCCTCTGGATAAACATCTTGTTTCTGTGTATTTGAGAAAACATCTCTGCTCTGCATCAATCTCCTCACAAAGCTGTTCAACCAGGCGCGAGTTCAAACGTGTGCTTTGATGTGGCCACTAGCTTCAACGACATCAATCAATACGCTGTTAAATTCCGGTGACATTTTTCGGCTTGCCAACATTTCCCTGTGAATGCGTAGATTCACTCTCAGGTACAACCTCCTTAATCCGAGCAGTTAAACCAGACAGTTGTTTGGTCATGACAGCAGCTCCGTCTGTGCATTTGCTGACACAGAAGGACCCTTTTAGTTGTGCTGATATATAACCATCCAGTAACTTGAACAGTTCTGCTCCTGTGGTGGTGGTGGTTGGCAAAAATAGTGTACATGACAAATCTTCATTGCACATCCCCCGGATAAAGACATCGCACATAAACAAGTAGTATTGCCTTGTTGTCGATATCTGTAGATTCGTCAACCTGGAGTGATTACCACGATGTTGTATTAACCCTCTCTAGCGATTTTGTCTCAATGTCTTCTGCTATTTCCTCAACTCGCCTAGTCACAGTGTTGGACAACAAAGGCACAGGTGCTATCATTTTAACAGCATTCTCTCTTAGAAGTGCATGACAGTCTTTATTAGAGGGCAAGATCAATTATTCACCGATAGTGAATGGCTTTTAGCCTTAGCGAAACAGTTAGTCACCAAATATGATACTTTCAGTGCATTCTCATTTACTCATGTAGCTGCCCTCAGAAATCTTTTTGTCCTTCGTGTTCCCACTTTTTTTCCAAAATGCTCCAGTGATCGGTATTTTTATCCAGGGTGCTTGGCGTTCAAGTGGCGAAGCGGTTTTGTACCCGTCCCCGCAAACTATGCAGAGCGGGGTTGGTGTGTGGGAATCACCTGTCCCGATAAATCCATATTTCAACTAGAACTCATGGCATCCTCTGGTAAAAGTTTTATGTTTCTTTCTCTTCACTGGGCCTTTTCATTTTTCCAAGGAATAGTTACACCGACGTCTGTTTCGTACACATTTTTGCTACTTTGTGGGATTAATCTAAGAGCTCAAGTGACCGAGATTTAACTTGTAAAGTAAAACATCCTTAGACAGTAAATGTGAACGAAAAAGGGCAAAAATGAAACAAAATGTACATGTACACCAAGCACCGTTAAACATGAGAAAGTACCGATGGACAGAGAGAAGTGCGATACACACCTCCCCACCAAAGCTACAAGGCCACTGCCGCTCACAGCCACTCAGCTCCCGGTTAACCTCTCGTCCATGATGAGTCGTACAATCCCGAGAGAAATACACCACAGTAAATAATATGGAATTACTTTAATATTTCTTGGGTTGCTCTGTACCATTTAACCCACGGATCGGTACCGGCCTGCTACCCGGAGCTTGGGGACCACGGCTCTGTATCATCTTGTCAGCTTACTTGCGCACCTTCGCCCATCGCCACCACCACACACCCGTGTCAGCGGACCTCGTACTGCTAGTCACGTGCGGTTTTATTTGGTTCAGCGCTATTTTCACCCACATCATGTTGGAATTGTGCGTCGTAACCCCTTAGAATTTCTTTATTCTCGTTGTGGGGTTGTCCCACGCACCTTAACTTCAACTGCTGTCAGACAGTATGGCGTCCTGACATCATCTGCAAGGGGAAAGTGGCTAGCACACTGATGATTACTATCATGTAAATCGCCACAAGACCATCCAAATGTTTTATGCTTTCCTGTTTCCCATTTGCTAGTATTTCACTTTGAGTTCAATTCAAAACTTTGACCCAAGCATCAAGATGACGATCACTCAGTTGCTCCCACTCGCCCCACCACGCTACTGATCATTAACGGTGAGTAATAGAGAGAGGTAACGAACGGACTAAAAATCAAGTAGAAAGCACAGCAGTCACCATTCAGGAAGATTGGCGGTTGTAAGGGGTTGGATGCCACATCGACACCACAACGGGAAGAAAGCATGCCTGTTGATCTTTTCGATCCGACTCAAGATTGCGTGCCGAAGTATTATCAAGCTTACCACTCAATTTCTTCCTAGGTTTCCGACATTTTTGCTGGCCGACCTAGATATTCACTCACCATTGGTATGTAGCAGAAGTTAACACTGCATGTTGAAGGGTTTGCGAATAACTAAGTTAATCAGCGTAAGCGACTGAACTTCCGCATGTAGCTTAGTTCGTCATCATACCTTCTGCCCATCCCCAACTGGCATGCATAGATATTGTCTACCCTATACTCCAGCTAAGTATGAACGACACTTTGTGAGCACCGCTGCCCATCTCCAGGTTGTTTTTGACATCCTCCGTTTGCAGTGTTCGTGATTCCGTTCAACGTTCTCACTCATGTTCTGTGAACTCATCGCAGTGCGTTGAAGCTGAAAGTCGTAGACCAAACGGCAACCACATGCCACTGTTGTTTTCCCAAAGAACGTCGTGGTTTGATCATTACTTTTTATGAAATATATTGTAGAATAAAACTCGTCAGTTACCGCTAACATGTGATTTTGCTAACAACACGCAATTAAAATACACATGAGCCCTGCGGATTGCATCCTCAAATGGAATTTGTTTATTTCTTTTTCGCGCATTCAAAGGGTATCGTTCGCTGCTGCCCAGTACAGCTTGTACGTGGCCCCTCTGTTGGTGTTCCTCCAACGAGCGATTGGTATCGATTTGCGTGTTTGCCGCAACGCACATATGGTGTATCGCGTGGCAAAAATCCTCTCGCAACCCAGCATGAAGCTTATGCTACATAACGCCGAAGGTTCGTCCCTGTCTCCTAACCTCATGTTCACTTGTTCATCCCATGCATGCGCCTATGTCCCTTTTCTGAGTTCAATATTTGTGCACTAGCACACTTCGTTGTCATGTACTCTCTTCTGGATTTCCGACGCTACGCAACCACCTCGTTTGAAAAGTTCACCACACCCTCGTTCCTCACTATACATTACCAACCATGAGGCTGTTGATCGTCTGTGAGTGTAGATCGGGTCGAAACACCATGCATTCGCTCTTTCAGGTCTTTTGCCAATGCGCACTCCTCCGTGTGTGAAAGTACGAACATTAGCATGAACTGAACTGTCTACAGTTCCGTTCCACTCATTCTTGTTGTTTTCTGGTACCAAACAGTGAGCCACAATTTCCAGTGTTACTTTCGGAACTCGAAACAACGAATATGCACATGGACAACCACTGGACGGTTCTTTTGTATCCACTGCTCCATTGCCATTTACGGCGTCTACGTGCCGTTCTACTCGAGTTGCGCATGCAAACACCAGATGCGTTAGCCCCAGTTTAGGGGAGTGTACTTACAAATTAGCTTTGTTTATAACTCTCAATAACTTTTCTAGATGGGCTTTCCGGTTTGCCTTACCTAACGGTTATTCCTATGCATATCTACCCTCGGAGATTGCTCCCTTTATAGGGTTGTGTCCCAGCTGCACCCGATACATTGTTGTTTTCGAAATTGTCGCTTCTGTAGCAGTTTATTGTCGGGGTTGTCTTTGCAACAGTTGATATATCAATTCAAAATCTTTGCGCAATTTGTGCTTCCCTATCATCTCCATCGCATGCAAATCGGGACCCCCCGTGCTCATGCAAGGACGGTGGCGCAAAATACCTCGTGGGCTTCCGGACAAGCGATTAAGAGGATCAGCAGCAGCTACTTGGGCCCTACAGTGGATGATGCCTCTGGTACATCGTTATTTCACCATTGTTCGCTCATGTACACTGCCTTTAATCCGGCAGCGCCTCATTTTAGATGTGCACTGTGGTCGCGGTCGACTCTTTAACTCAGACCCATCCGTTTATCTGACAGGGAAAACCATAAGGTAGTGGCAAACCGCCCACTTCCAACACAGATTTAAATGTGACTTAGAGTACTCATCGGGGCAGCCTCGCTACTAGCATAGTTCAGTTCTCTGTGCTGTACTCCTCTTGCAATTCCTAGACATAAACTCTCTGGGTTTCAATTTGACACCTATTCATTGAGTCACATGACTGATAACCACCTTAAATTTAAATCGTAATGTGAGTTAGGAATGTCTTGCAATAAAGTCAACTTATCGTCTGATAATATGCTCTGTTTTGGGTCTCACTTTACTAGGGGGTATAGTGGTATGACGCGAACGATGTATGCATTCTAGTTGAGTCAGCATTTCACAACTTTTGCAACTGTGAGTAGCTGTAAGACACAGAGCCTCAGCTTATACGGTGAAGATGTAGCCTGTGTTCTCCACTTTGGATTCTACTTGCCTTACGGCCACCGTCACATAAGTTGTCGGTGGATTTCGGTTGTGGAAGTTAAGCTGATCGCAATTAGACTCGATGTGTTGCGCTTTTCTTTATTACAAATTTGTTGTGTATCTACTTCTATCTCCCTCTCTTCATTTGGACGACGTGTTCCCCAACCTTTTTAACTGACTTCGCAGTTAGATCTTTTCTGTCTCGCTTTTACCACCCAATCCAAGCTTCCTTATTTGCATATTCTCCTTTCATTTTAAGCTAAGGATGTATCCTTTGTTCTTCTTTCCTTTTAGATATCGTTTTACAGCAGCTGTCTGGAAGCGGTTGCAGCCCTTACAAAGAATCAATAGATGTTCCTCCACCGAATCCCCAAAGTGGACTGTGGGGACCGGATTTCGAGTCTGTTGTTCGAGAAACGCTTAGTGTGTTATCCACTACGTTAAACGAGTAAGTGCCCACTTGCCTTGCCTACTATTTGGAAAGGATATATTTGTTCATATCCACCGCCGATAATTTACTAGTTTAGTTTTGAACCGTCTCTCTCTCTCTCTCGAAATGGATACTGATATTTATAATACTGACCGGTGGTGCCAGAATGAACAGCTGAGCACAAACCTTTTACCCTTATCCAATCATGTTTCACTTGCCGGAGACCATCCGTTCCACAAAACGCCGCCATTATTAATTGTTAATGAATGGCGAATAGCTGAATCCCTTTCAGACTGAATGCGAAATCAATTTACATCCGTGCGGAAATTAATCTCTCAGTTTTGTGTCATTTCCGAGTCCGTTGGAAGTCAGCCCGATTACTCTGTGTCTCTGAGATGTGCTCCGCTTGTCGGACATCTGACATGCTGCTGTCCATTGCATCGGATCGAGGTTTAGAATTTCTTCAACCTAATAATCTCTCTTTCTTGAATAAACTCATCTGGTTCTTTCTCAACCTAATATCTAAACATCACCTAGACATCGATATCTGTTTTGCTATTTTGCTTATACCTAATTTCATGTGTTGCAGCGTTTCTCCTTCCGAGATCAGTGATTTACTCATCAGAGACAGATCAGCTACATCGTAAACACATTTGATCCACAAAACCACTGGATCTATGTCACTAGTCCGCTTCCATTAGCAACTACGTGCAGGCACTTCACTGAGTTTAGATCGAGATCTGGTGGGGGCTGTTGCTGATTTCCAGTACAATAACGTACAAGTCCTTGTGTTTGAGTAGTTCCGGCTTTTGATTAAAGCCACTTGATTGGTCCCGATTGGTCCCCAGCTGACTGGCACAGGCTGCTTTCCCAGGGCATAACCCACAAAGTAGCTGCGAAGACCCGGAACGCGACACTGGGTAAAGTGAGGATCGTTACCAGAGAAAATTTGTGGTATTCCACTCTGAGCACATTGCTGTCTGAGTTTGCTTATTCTGTGGTAGATTGCTTTTCTCGTTATCACCGCCTTCTGTAATGCGGCACCATTGTCTTCATGGTTCGCCGGGTTTCGTGGAAACATAGAGGCGAACAGTGAAACATGGATGCCGCATTTGGCTTGTCGTTTCGGAATGAAACATTATTTCTCCTAGTCTGCTGATCCTATGTTTAACGCCTAGTTGAGCTCCATGAGCTCGTACCATCGTTCGTCGTCATCATCATCATCTTTACACGTTATCTAAACAAAGCAACAAACACGTCAGCTATTGTGCCGCAATGCAAAAAGATAGGATGTGTGAGAACCGAGATAGCAAACATTACACAATACACAATAAAATCAAAAACGAATAATTTAATGCTTAGCATCACATTATGCATGGAGTATGATATCGCGTTTGATGATGGAAGCTATGCGGGAGGGGAGTAACAAAGTAACTTTCAACACAACCGTCCTTGAAGTCGACTTTCCGCCGTATCAACAAGTGCATCCTACCAAATATGTTCATCGCCCCCCAGCCCGGCAGTCGGAAGGCACCAACCGACATCAAGTTCGAAGGGAGGGCCTTCATTCCTCCTTACCCAGTCATCGCTTCGGCGCCACTGTTCTCGTTCCATCTACAATCCGGTCGCGAAAACAGCACACAAAGCGGTATTCCGTGTGATGGCATGTTCAGCATGTTGCCCGGCCCTCGGACCCTGGTGCGTGGTATAACGGTGCTGAGCGGTTCACTCGCTCTTCGAGCGGAGGGTGGTGAATATTTGGAACAACCTGGCTACAGACATAGTCGAAGCAAACTCGGTGCCGGAGTTTAAGAAAGTTTTGGACCCACACTTTGCAGACTTGAGATTTCGAGAATAATCACCATAATAATAGGTAGATTTGCTTGAAAAATATTAGATGTAGCTACACAGAGGTTTCTCTACTCGCTGCATTTTCTCAGTATTCAGTATTCTTCCTAGGCCAAATACGCGGCGCCGAACACGCTCATTGCTCACGCGGTGCTCTCACCAGACATGAGGTAAACTATAAAGGCAGCGATGATCGAACGTAACTATCCTCTTCATGTCTGTCAATCTAACGGGCCAGTTTCCCTGCGGTACGTGATGATTAAATGAACGGCTGTATTGTAAACTTTGCCGTTCAAGACGAAAGTGATATCTCGCCGACACCACAGATGGCGGAGATTGACAAAAGCGCCTCTAGCTTTCGCTATGCGGCTTTTGATCTCATCTTCCAGTCCAATGTTGCTGGTATAGCTACCTAGATGCTCGAATTTCTCCACGACTTCTAGCTGATCACTACCAAGGATCAGCGCGGAGGTGGGTCCCCACCAATCTTGGAAAAGGATTTTGCGCTTTGAGGGTGCATGGCATAGCCCACAACAATTGACAGTCAATGCTAATTTGTCCAGTGCTACTTGACACGCATGTGAGCTGTCGCAGATTAGAGCAATGTCGTCGGCCTACTCGAAGTCAGGAACTCGATCACCTGGGGGCAGCCCCACACCATTTAATTCGCGTCCCTATGACTTTGTCAATGAGAAAATCAAAACTGATAGGTGACAGCGGGTATCCTTGTCTCACACCGCCGGAGATATTGAACGGCGGCGACAGCATGCCGTAAGCGCTCACTCTGCGCAAAATATGTGTGTAAAGCTATCTGATAACGTTTATGTATTGCTTCTTGCACACCTTTTCTGAGTAAACAGTCCCCAAGGGCACATCGATCATTCAAATCGAAGGCACCTTTGATGTCGAGAAAAGCGACTACGGTGGCTCGCCAATGAATATGAAGGTGTTCCATGACGTGGTGGGTTTTCGCCTGGCAAGCGTTCTCCCTATAAAAAGCCACAAATGTCTGCTTAACAACACTGCGACGTGGCGGATGTGACTCGCCACAAACTAAAGCCACTGGCCCGTGGATATTCGGAAAATGCTATCCAACCCACGAAAATCATTCGCTTATTCTCACATTCCTGACGATAACAAACAGTCAAAAATTCTGCGGCGCATTCAAAAACACAAGCTACATTCCTACACAATTACATACGTATGGTTGGCGGCATCCGGTTTCGGATTTGCCTGTCACTGTGGCAAGCCACAGGACGCCTGCGCCTACAGAGGGACCATGGATGGCTTGCGCTGCACCACCCACAGCTCCAACCACACACCCCATATCCAGTGTAAACCCGAAGGAATAAGACCGGGAGGCATGCGGATGGGAACCACGTTTCATCAACGGAGCCGGCCCACACTCCTTCACAGGCAAACACAAGCACGCTGTATTTGGGGAATCAAGCGCACACAAGGCGGTGGCTGGACCGTAGTCCGCTCCACACTGAGTGCATGGAACCGCTCTCTGAGCCTAGCACGGCCACAAGAACCGTGCACCCCGTCCCCTCCAGCAACGACCAACTGTCTCCTGGAGCCAGTATGAACGATGTAGTGGGTAATAGACATGCACATCAAGCGCAGCCACACCGGGGATATCAAGCAACAGCCATTCACTTTAAACGACAAGCTGAAATAAAATAAATCCAATAATGCATACAGATAAGGTGGCATAACACTGCCCTAAATTACCATATGAAGTGAGTTGGTTAGCAATGAATCCGCAATAAGTAAGAAATGTCTAAATTTACTTAAAAATGCTACAAACGCAACAAAATTACCGAAGATAAGCGCAATTAGTGAAAGCAACGTGGCCAGTTAATAGAACATTATTCAGGTAGGCAGAACGAACCAAATAAAGTGGAATGAAATTTATCCAGCTTAAAAAGACCTAGTTTAAGTGTAAGTTGGTTTAGCCCAACTGCGATGAAGAAGCATCAAGAATGCAACATCAGCCTCAGCATACGTATATACACCCATATACTTACATACACAGTTATGCCAAACATGTCCTTTGGTACAATTTGATCACACTATGTTAGCTAAATATGATCATGCCTGTAAAGGTGTGCCTCGCATTGTCGAGAATAAAAATTTATTTATTTAACAACTGACGGAATATGAAGACGTGATCACTGCAACCACGGTTTTAACGAATGCTGGCTTGTTCACAGATCGGGCTTTATCGAGTGTCAGTCAGTCTGTGTGGAACGACATAGGTAAACAACTTAAAGGCAGTTGCAATCAGACTGATTCCTTTCCAATCATCGCATTTCGAACGTGAGCTTTGATATTTTGGACTATAACGGAGCGGCTTCACTCTGTTTGGTAAATCTCCTGCTCTCACAGCTGCACTAGTAAGTTATACAACTCATTGGCAGTAGCTAGTCTCCCGGATTTGAAGGGGGCGGCAGAAGTTTTGTATGCTCCTGCGACATTATCCACTTACAAAAGTCTAATCTCACTTTTAACTTCTGCGCGTGAAGGGGTTTTGAAGAAATAGACGATCAATGGCCCTAAAGGAGGCTGGCAACTGGCTGATTAAGCTGCTTCTCTAAATGTTTGGCCCAACGCTCCAAGCGTTTTGACAAGATGTGGATTAGCTGTCCACTCTCGTTGCATATAATCTCCCTAACACCAGGTCTCCTACTACCCGTTTTCCGTAGCAGGCGGAATAACTTACGATGGTTACCAAGGGCAGCAGCTATTTCCATCTCTGATGCTAGATGAGATCACCAGGATTCGCCGTCTCACTTCAGGCTAGCTCGCAATTTTGCCCTGAGGTCTGCGAGTTTCGTTCCGTTTACTCCCAGTCGGAATGTGTCAGCGAGCATGGAGGAGTTCCGGAGACTGTGTAGAGACCCAATGTTCAGTTTTACAGTCAGCTTTGCCACAAGATGACATGACTGCTACTAAGTACTTCTGGCGAATATGCCACCAGTAAGCTTACATTTTTGTTCATTGGGCGTTTACTCAACTCGAATACCAAGGCACTTTGATACCCGTTTAGAATATTTAGCTTCTCCTTTTGGCGGTTCCGTTTTAGTTCCGTTAAACAACTATGATCAGAACATCGAAGTGCGTTGGATCCAGTTACCACAACTTATAGCACCGAAATAATAACGGTA